GCGTTGAGTTTTGTGTCTTCTTGGGCAAGTACCACGGGCAGCGTCTGCAATGCCTCGACGAAGTGTGATGCGCCGGGCTGAGTTGAGTTGCGATCCCGAGCGGCCGCATGGGGTGGCGCTGCGCTCCTGCACCCAACACAATCCTCCCCCCCCCCTTCCGAGGCGCGCAGGGCATAGCGAAAATCTAAAGAGAAACGCGGACAAAAACTAATAAAATAATAGGTGGGCGGAGTGAAGGGGCAGGTTTGGGGTTAGAGGTGGGGGTTGAGGCGGTGACAGGGCGAGTGTTAATTGGTTAGGGTTACAGGGCATCAGAGGGATAATACTATTGAGCTTTGTATTAATTAAACTATAAACTAATAAAGAATGAAAGCTTTCGTGACTGCATAAAATTACTCATTGTTTTTTTCCGGTAAAGTCACGTACGTAGAAATACAATAAAATTATATTGAAACAGGAATTCATACTCTTTGGATCTTTCAGTAAAGTAACGTATAATTGTTTTTATTTTGGCTATCTACGTGGCTTTACCGAAAGATCCAAAGTATATTTTTGTTTTACCAGGTAAGGCCCACTGAGCTTTTTTAGACACGACCTGGGAGAACAAGCAAACTCCACATATACAGGCATCAGGGTCGGGATCGAGCCCACGACCTACTGCATACCAGGCGAGGTAGTTAACATCTCGACACCGTGGTGGGAAGGATTACAAGACATTAGTGGAATGATTGGCTAGTTGGTTCTTGTTCTGTGTAGAGCTCGTACTAGTATCTGGTTGGTTCGTTGGTTAGCGTTAGAGGTAGGGGTAGTAATAGTGGCTGGTTGTCTAGTTGGTATGGGATAAGACGTAAGGTAATATAAATGGTCGCTTTTGTTTTGGCACTCGGTTCGCATCAATGCCGCCAGGAGGCAACCTGCCTGGTCACGCTTGCAGGATCAGTCTAAACGAGAACCTTTTGTATGCGCGGCTCAGAACTCTGAGCCGGCATCACTAAGGGCAAGGGGTTCGAATCCGGGTTTCATCGACCCATGGCGAGACAGGCTCCACGGGGTTCATGCACTTGTCGCTCTTGCGTGGTTCTCGTGTAGAGCGAGTTCATGGTCTCAGACAGGTCACCGATGACATATTATCTACATGTAAAATGTATACGGTTACATTCAAGTCGGTTTATCCCAGCTCTAGTGTTCTGCCCCACGGCAGATATGGGGGTGTGTTTACACAGAAACTTTCTGATATGGTGTTGAGTTTGGTCACGTGGCCAGGAAGTTACGATTTAAGGTTCTCTAAGCCACGAGGCAGGCGTGTCAGCCATTACACAGAGTACAAAATGGAGGCACAAATAGTGTCTCAGTGAAGACAGGTGCATCTGTTAATTGTGGGACTTTAAGAAGCGTTGTCTGTAAGTTCTTTATGTTCTTATAATACTGGGAATGCTGTTATAATGTTAGGATTGCCGGTATTGCTGTAAATGCCTTTATAATGCTGTTAAATTGTTATGACAAATATGAGGCCTAGTTAACAACGAAGCCTGCCACTTGTATTATTGTGAATGTTACTTGTAGTTGGATAAGTCGAGCCAGACTTGTGCCCATGTAACTTTAATGCATTCTTGAGAGCAAGGATGAAGAAGTATCTCATCCACAGTTCAGTTTTATATGCAGCACTGTACATTTAGGCTGCAGTATGGTGATGACACAAAGTGACCTTATTTAACACAGTAGCTTATTCTCTTGTTGCATAGCTATTCAGTGCTAATGTAGGTGCCTGGTCCATCCAGGATCTATTGTTGAGATTCATGTTATCTAAGACAATGTTATGATGATCCAGTATTCATTCATTGTATTGATACTGTTAGTATTAACAGATACTGTATTTTGTGCTGTGTTTTTCCATCAGTTTTACCTCGTTCTGTTCATTAAATACATTGGAGTCGGATGTTCACCCTGGCTCTGAAGGTTTATTGAATGCGAGGTTAACTACTTGGATAGTGGTGCTAAGCAGCGCACAGCGAGGCCGAGACATCTCGTGTGGATAATAGAGGCAATTGAACGGATCTCAAAAGTAGTTTTGTGATATTATTTAGTACAGGACGCTCGCTAACTCAGGGACTGATGATAAAGAACTACTTCTGAAGATACAGTTCTGAACGTAATTCATCGCGTGACATAACGCTTATTGAACTATTGTGTCGTTTATTGGGATTTTTAATAACATGTTATTCGGGTGCTCTGATTTGTTGCGAGACTTAAGAGCTCTCAGTTGTATCATTGATCCCACTGAGAAGAGCTATTTGTATGCGAAATGTGATGAGAGGGAACGCTTCGTGAAGCAGAACTACCGCGTGCGATGACAAATGTTGATTGCAAATCTATTGAACAGTCGACACAAGTGATAATACGGGGGTGGTGCAGTGACGCAGTGGGTTCGCTATGAACCTCTCTACCTGAGTTTGATTCCCGGACGCGGCCAACATTAGTGGCGGCGAGTGAAGTCTGAACCGCTTCCTGGACATCCTCGTTCCCCAACCTGGCACTGACCAGCGTAGTGAAATATGGTCGAGCAATCATACAGTACCCATGCAATATTGGATTTACAAATGAGTGGGAATTATGTATTTTGTAACTTAATGCACAATACGCAAATGAACATCGGTGTACTTCACACATTTTCAGAGGGGGCCACTTTCGCTGATAAGACATAATCAGTCTGAGGGCCACCAGACATTTAAAACCATTGGGGTTTGACAGCATGATGTTGATGGGGGGGGGGGCAGTGCCGGATTATTCTAGTGACAAAAGTAGCTACATATCCTACGGGCCCCGCACTTTCAAGGGCCCCGCGCTAAATGCTTTTAAGCTCTTAATTACGGTTGAGTGACTCTGGACTTGCTCTATTACTATAGTACTATACTGCCTTAAAACTTTTATGAACGACTTGGTGTTTAAGGTTAGCGATTTGTCGTATTATCTGGCTGTATAGCAAATTAAATAATACAATTACTTTACTATGCAAGTTAAACATTCATGTTTTTATATTTACGTGTTTTTTTTATTTAGGGCCCCTTTATAACATGCTACAGGTCACGCACTAGCTTAATCCGCCACTGGGGGGGTGTTGTCACGTGTTGTGTGTTGTCGGGGACCACACGTCAGGGGCCGCACTAAAGGCCATCAGTGGCCCGCAGGCCTTGCATTGAAGACCACTGCTAAACATGACTACAACGCCAGGTCGAGACCAAAAAATGTCCCTTTCAAGAGAGATACGTACACGTGCAGTGGTCAGCGATGGGTGGATAACACGCAGCTCGCGTCCAGGAACTAGACGGATTGTTACATCGCAGGAAGTTGAGAGATGACATGAGATGCCTTGGGAGAGGGGCATTCATGCAGCAGTGGATTGAGAATGGCTTTTGCTGACGATGTGCACATCCCGTCGTTGAATGGGAGGGGAAGGATGTGGAGTCGGCGTGTACTGTGTTACTTTCTTTATCCCCCAGGTCTCTTTTGTTGAACCGGAGCTGGTTTGTCTCAATGCGCGCTCTCACCTGCAGATTCTTTTTTTTAATCAATGAAGCGCATGAATGAATGAGCGTTTGGATCGTTAAGTCGTGCATTCATTCACCTGTGATGCACGCTGATTCAATGTTGGTGAACATCTTTATATGCTGAATCAACTGCTCATTAAAACGAAACGGTTAACATGGCACCTCCGATAACCATGGTTGGCTACATACGGTGCTAAAGAAGTCCAACATACATATAGCATCCCCGGTTCATTGAGACGGAAATAAGCGCATGAGATGTAATCAGTCATAACATTTATGTCAGTATCTGAGCGATACTGCAACTTTAACACTCCTGCAGTGTAGGAGTTAAAACTCTGGAAATCGCCTGATGATGCCGGATGTAATTACCAGCGAGGCACGTTAAACTTAATTGTTATATGTTGTGAATTGATCTTCAACATATTGGTGTGCTGTAGCAATAACAAATTGGCCTGTTTGTTCACATGACAAGTCTATGTATTTGACTGTGCGGGTGGATGAGGGTGTACGACACACATTGCATTGTGCTCACGCGATGACCAAAAACGTCCATCGATGATGACTCATAGATACTGTAATACAACCCGCGCACATTCCATACACCATATGACATCACTCCCATTAATCATCATCATCGGCCATGGTCAATCCACTGCTGAATAAAAGTCTCCATTGGAACGTACACACACGGTATAATACACAGGACTACAAAGTCACACAGCGTTCGTGGTTCTATATGCAGCATACATGGATAGACGCATGCACGGTTACAGCAATGGGATTACGTTACGCCAAGTCAACTAACGAGGGCTCACACCCCCTGTCAATACTATCCACTTTACCCACTATACGGTGTCTGTATACTGCATGTGCTTTGCAGACAAAGTATACACGGGGCTTAGTTTTTCACTAGATATGTTCTGTAATGCTCCTAGTCTGGCTTGGAGTAGGGATTATCGGCGTAAGGTACTATCACTCGAGTACGAGGTTCACTCATCTATAGTAACCCTATATTATTGTACCCCATATTCCTACAATCATATAAACAGGTCGAGGATCTAATTGGCGACATTAATGTGGCGTGGCTGGAATAATTCCCAGAACAGCGTTCCGGACCAATCCGGCGAAAACGAATCACAGAGTACATAGTTAAATGAGCGCACTGCACGCGCTATGCAGACGGCGCTTCTTGCAAACAGTTGCAAGGCGCGTGGAAAGACGGGAACTGACAATCGCTGCAGCCCAGCCTCCTCCATCCTCCCCCGCCACAGCCTCCTCCATCCTCCCCTCCTCTCCCCGCCACAGCCTCCTCCATCCTCCCCTCCTCGCCACAGCCTCCTCCATCCTCCCCTCCTCCCTCCTCGCCACAGCCTCCTCCATCCTCCCCTCCTCCCCTCCTCTCCCCGCCACAGCCTCCTCCATCCTCCCCTCCTCCCCTCCTCTCTCCGCCACAGCCTCCTCCTCCTTCTCCTACTCCTCCTCCTTCCCGGCTCTGACGTTCGCTCTTGGGGGGGGGGGAAGTTTGTTGCGGGGCCGGCACATCCATCATGTATTCACGGCTCCGGCGATGGGCGCCTACCCTGGAATGATCGCCGTCTTCCTCCTCGTGTACTCCAGGATCGCCGCGGTGCGCTGCCAAGGTAAGGTGGCCGTCACGGCGGAGAGCGCTCGCGCGTGCGTGCGCGCGACCCTGCGATGGTCGGGTCGCCACGCGGCGTGGTGGTGGTGATGATGCAGCTATGCGCATCATATCTACCTGCCCGTGTATGTGTGTGCCTACGTCCGTGGTGTGTGCTGTGTGTGCACGTGTGTGCGTGGACAGCGAGGAGCGATCGATTAAAGAGCGCTGAATCAATTGATCCTTTGCTCGCTCGCTCGGACGCACTTGTTGATGCGCGCTTAACGCGTGGACCCCTGAATACTCTCGTACCTATCTGTGTACGGGCTGTCCGCTAACCCCTGTGACCTCGCGTCACTGTGCCCCCCTTCGTGTTCCCATGCACATCCGTAACTCCTGTGTCCCGTTACTCCCGTCTGGGTGATTGCGTGCCCCCTGTCCCCGTATAGACGCATCGCCGTCTTTGGCCACACGTGCTGCATTGTTATTGCGCTGCGCTGGTTTCGAGAATAATTGAGCGACGCTTTTATCTCGCCGTCTGTGCGCGTCTCTGTGTGTATGAGGAGCAGTAGTGTAGCTGTTAACGCGCTGCGCGACCAACAGTGACAGTCATCTGAACCGGTCCTGGGCCTCCCCTAGGTCGACTCAGCCTCAAACGAGTACCTGGTGCGGTGTGTAAACATAGCCACTGGGGAGACAAAGGCGGTCGGGCGTGGGTGCTGGCCACCCGACCCCCATGTGTACCGTACGGGCCTTCAAAGGTGCTCGCTAACAGCACTTGTCCCAAAAGTATGTTAAGGCTATACGGGGGATTTTGTGTATGTCACTTCCAGGTCATTTGCCAAAGCCCCTCACTACCCTGGTCTCTTGAGTGCTCGCCTAGTTAAACAATTGCACTTGAGTTTATTTGCCGTATGTGTCTTTGTACATTCATGTGCTTGTTCGTGTGTGTATCTTGTATGTATGAACGCGTGTCGATGTGTGGGTGTCTCTGTATTTGTATCACTTTATATGCGCATCTTTGTTTTTGTCTTTGCGTGCCTGAGTGTGTGTGTCTGTCTTGTGTGTGTAACTGAACGTGTCCGGAAATCAGTGTGTGAGTGTGTGTTCATGTACGTGCTCTTCTGCTGTACAGAGACTCCGGGTATCATCGTGTCTGCAATCGTGCGCGTCAAAACCGCTAAGCATCGTGCATCTGCGTGTGTGTGCGTTATGCTGCCAGTGGCGAGCGATGGGCGTAGTGGTTTAGCGTACTGGACCATGGACCCGGCGACACGAGTTCGATCCCCGCTCACGGTCAACACCAGAGACAATTGTCTGAACCCGTTCTGGGCCACCCAATGTTGACTCAGCCCGAAGGATTACCTCGTGCGATGTATATACACCGCCACTGGGGAGACAAAGGCGGCCGGACGTGGTGCTGGCCATCCACACAATCTTGTGCCGTGCCGGTCTTCATAGGTGCTCTCTAACAGCACTTGCCCCGAAAGTATGTTATGCCTATACGGTTGATCTTTGTCTTTGTGCGTTATACAGTACTACCAGCCACGTTACTTTTATCGTAACGCGTAAATCGTACGATGAGATTTCCTACATGCTTCTATAATAATTTATCCTCTCGCCTTATTTATTCGTTCAAAACAAGCCGGCTATTACACAACCAACAGCTTGAGCATGTCTTGAAAGGTGATTAACGCGGGGCCAGCATTAATATAGGCGTGTAATTGCAGCGCACGGCGTTGTGATTATATGCATGAGTGAGCCCGGACAACCTATTATGAGATTTACGCGGAATAATTTCGGCGGAAGGGCTGCACCCCGCGCACGCCTCCCGCGCGCCCTTCTTGGCTTGACTGCGATGCTGAAGGAAATGAGTGGGGATTAGATCGGTCTTGGGTTTCGTGGCCAAGATAACTCACTCGAGTTGTGCGCTGTACGGCCCCCCCCCCACCCTTTGAAAAAGCAAAGATCCCCCGTATAGCCTTAACAGATTTTTGGGGCCAAGTGCTGGCACGGCACGCGAGGGGGGTGGGTGGCCAACACCACCCCCGGCCGCCTTTGTCTCCCGAGTGGCGATGTTTACACATCGTACTAGATACTAATTTGAGGCTGAGTATACCTAGGGGAGGCCCAAGACCGGGTCAGATATTCGTCACTTGTGTTCATTTTCCTCTTTTCAAAGAGTACACAAAGTCCCAATTGACACCAAAAGCCTTAACCTGCTGATGAGACCCTATAATCTTGAAATCTGGGCAAGGGTTTTTTTGCTTGCTTAAACAGATAATGCTGGATAACCATTATTCTATATTATCAACCATGGACGATCCACTGCTGGATGAATGCCTCCCAAATCCATTCTGCGATGCAACAATCCACATAACACCTGGGCACGAGCTGATTTGATCGTTCCATCTCATCGGTGGCCTTACTCTGGGACGCGTTCCATTCCTTGGCTGCAACTCCGTTATTGTTTTCCATGAAGAATAATGCTAGATAATATTGGTGTGAAAAGCGAACCTACGGACTAAAAATTATTTTATTTGTATGTGGAGACAGAATGGAGGTCACCAATGACATGGCGCTCCGCAACAGAGCATACTGACCTTATACCCCTATGCCCAGTGTGAAGTGGAATTCGCAAAGCGTCCATGCGCAGCCACACCTCAGCATGACGCTGTAAACCGAGTGCGTTCTTACAGATGTGGACAGACAGAACCGATATAATTGCGTTATATTCATGATTATGTACACCCTAAAGCCCTCTTGTTAATTCAATGTTGGACGACAGCCTCCCTACCCCGTGCATATCATGGGGGGGGGGGGGGGTTATTTGACCATACTTCACCAGGGTGGTTAGTGCAGGTTGGTGAAGGTGGAGAGCATAGCTGTTTGAGCATAACACAGTACAATAATGAATATCGCTGCACTACAATCTGCTGACAACGTGCATGGTGATGAGGATGTTATGATGATGATGTCTGTATACAAACACGCAATCGCTCGTGCACACTCGTGGTGAATATTCAACAGCAGGTGGTAGGGCTTCTGCCTATGCTAATTATAGTATTGCTTTGCGCTAATTTAGCCACGTAATATAATGTACCAGCGGGAAGTACCCGGCGTTGCCCAGGCGAAAAAGACACACACACATCGACTTACACACACAGACATCGACCCACACACACAAACACATCGTCTTCCACATACACATACATATGGACTCAAACACACAGACAACTACTTACACACACACACACACATGGAGCAACACACAGACATCGACTTTAGACACGCACATGGAGTTACACAAATACATCGACTCACACACACAACAACCGCCATTCGCCACTAAGTGGCGGTGATGTCACCACGACGCTTGTGCCAGGCTAGCACCTTGAGGCCACGTGAAGTGTCGAACGCCCGCTGGCAGGAGGTCACGGGGCAGACCCAGATGCCACAGGTCGATTGACTGAGACGACTGGCTAATGCACCACCTGTGCCCCCTACTGTGCCAACTTGCTGTGCTTTAGCCACCCGGCGCTCCGCTCGTTGTTGTGAGCGTCGCTCCTCCGCCCTCCGTTGTTGTTGGAGGGCAACTGCCTCCAACTGCCCAGTAGCGTCCTTCACAAGCCTCATCGACAGAGGCCGATCTTGACACCGCTGGTACCAGTCATCGGCAAGTCCACTCAGCTCCACGTCCTCCTGTACCACATCACTCCATCTCTTCTCTAGCCCATGCCGCGCCCGTTTAGCCCCCTCGATCCGGCCGAACAAAAGCTGTTTAGGCATGCGGTGGCTGGGCATGCGGGCTACATGACCCAGCCAACGCAGCCTTGCCTGCCGGAGGAGCTCACCGATGGGACTTTGTCCACATCTTTCAAGGATTTGTGAGCTCCTCACACAATCCAGCCTTGTTAAACCCAGGATGGTTCGTAGGCAGGCCAGCCTAAATGTTTCTAACCGGCGAAGATGTTCCATTAGGGGGGTCCACGTTTCTCAAGCGTAGAAAAGGGAGGGAATGACCGTGGCCGAGAAGACCTGAAGCTTCGTGCGGAGTGATAAACCAGGTAGCTTCCACACAGCGTTACGCAACTGATGAAAAGATAATGCTGCTCGACTGATTCGGAGTGAGACCTCTGCTGTTAAACCGGAGCCGGTCATGAGCACACTGCCAAGGTATGGGAAACTCTCCACTCTCTCCACAACTGCCCTATCACCAATTAGAAGTTGTGGGGGTGGAGTGTCTGATGGTACAAAATACCCAGGCAGGTGCTTAGTGTTGGTGGGGCTGATGGTAAGGCCCCACCTCTTGGTGGCAAGCTCCATGTTCAGCAGCAGCGCCTCTAACTCCTCCTCTGAGTGAGCAGAAATTACCAGATCATCGGCATACATAACGTGATTGAGCAATAGGGAGCCATGCCTTGACCGCACCCGGGCATCGATCAGCCTCCCATTGTATCTGTATCAAGTGGAAATTCCTCCGGTACAGCTATTGAAGGCTTCACGAACTACGTGGTCAAAATAGATGTTAAATAATGTGGGAGCCAGAGGACATCACTGTCGCACCCCAAGGTGTACAGTGAATGGCTCTGACTCCCGGCCACGTAGTTTTACCCGGGCCCGCTCACCATCATGAAGGTCCTTAATGATCGTGAGCAGAAGGTTAGGGACTCCGAAAGTACGAAGAACAACCCACAGCCCAGGTCTACTGATGGTATCATAGGCCTTGACCAGGTCAATAAAGCAGAGATGTAGGTCTTGTTGGAATTCCCTACACCTCTGCTGTAGCAGACGAACAGAAAATATAGCATCTGTGCAGGACCGCCCTTTCCTGAAACCGCATTGGGGCTCCGCAAGCCTCTCCTCTGCGTGCCTAGCAAGGCGATGTTGAATAATCCTTGCCAGGACTTTTCCTGGCACACTGAGGAGTGAGATGCCCCGGTAGTTGTTAAAGTCTGTGCAGTCCCCCTTCTGCGACCACCAGGGCATCCTTCCAATCCTGCGGAACCCATCCAGTGGTCC